CCAGTGGTTAGGACTCGGCGCTTTCACTGCGGTGGCCCAGGTTGGATCTCTGGTCAAGGAACTAAGATGTTGCAAGCCGTGTGGGGCGGGCAAAAACAAACAAACAAAGAAAACAACCACCCCAACTCCCCAAAAGCTTTCAGCAAAGCCCTTTTATAGGAAAGGTGAGGGAGGGGCGTGCTTAGTTGTTGCAGACTTCTTGGTGTCAGATCCTTTGTTCCTAAGGTTAGGTCATTGTCAGATCACATTTTCCTGTAACCCTCCACCAAAACAAATGTTATTCTCTGTTCTGACAAGAAAGGGCAAGGTCCCAAGGCTCAACTTTCACTCTCTGAGGTCCAGGGCCTCGCTAAAAGTAGGAGGTCCCTGCACAGGCCGGTCACCCTGCCTGGGAGCGTTCGTCCAGCACCCCAGTCTGGGTCCTCCCGCCAGTGCCCAGGCCCGGCTGAGAAGGCAGATATGGCAGTGCCCTCGGGACCAGGTCCCCAGACCCTGCCCAGCCGTCATCACTGAGGGAGCCAGGGGCCCAGGACCCAGCCGGACTCAGGCTTCTCATTTAAACTGGAGGGCATCAGTTGTATAGGATCGATAGGAATACATGTTGTAGCAAATACCCATCAGGTGAAGTCCCAGGTCACAAACAATCGCCCTTGAGAATAGCCCCAGCCCCAGAAGTGGACCTGAAGTAATGATGCGCAGTGTCCTTGCAACTTAACCTTGACCTCTGGCCACCTCCTAGCGGGAGACAATGGATCTAAGCTGGACCAATTTTTGAAACTTGAACTGAGAGCCTGAAGCTGGTTGAAGCTGTCACCTTTTTTTTTTTTTTCTGGCGCGGCTTGTGGGATCTTAGTTCCCCAACCAGGGATCCATCCTGGGCCACCGCAGTGAAAACGCCAAGTCCTAACCACTGGACCACCAGGGAATTCCCTGAAGCTGTTACCTTAATGGCAATGTCCATATACTCCAGGTGCTGAGGCCTCCATGGTCTGTGACCCATGGAGACTGCCGCCGCCATCAGGTTGCCGAGATAGGGATGGGGAGAGGTTCGCTGCTGCTTCAAGGCCTGGTCCCAGCCAGCGGGCAGCCGAGGGGAAGGCTCTGGAGCTCTGTAGGACCCAGCCCTCAGCCCGTCCTTGGGCCCCCACCTCACCCGCCCATCCCAAGGCCGGAGGGCCCCAGGGAGAAGGCCTCCATCAGCTCTCATCGTACTCTCTGCTTGAGGACCCCAACGAGGCTGACTGAGCAGGACCTCTAACCCTGGTCTCGCACAGGGTCTCGCGCTAACTGCCGCGTGCTAAGTGTGCGCCGGCTCTGCCCCTATTAAGTAGCATGCAGGATACTATTGTATGTATGGACCACACCTTGTTCACCCATTCATCTACTGATGGACACTTGGGCCATTGTGAATAATGCTGCTACAAGCATGATTGTACAAATATCTTTTCAAGTCCCTGTTTTCATTCTTTGGGGTATACACCCAAACACGGAATTGACGGATCATATGGTGATTCTAGTTTTAGCTTTTTGAGGAACTATTATACTGTTTTCCATAAAGGCCGCACCATTTTATCTTCCTACCTATCAAGGATTCCAATTTCTCTATATCCTCACCAACACTTTTTTTCTGTTTAATTGGCAACTTTTCTGTATTTTGAGAACTTAAAAATTTCCAGGGGATTTTTCTGTATTATAAATCAACAACCAACGAACCAGCCAAAACTCCCAGAGGAAAGAAACCCTCGGTATAAACAGCCAAAGCCTAGGTTTTAAGGTTTTCAAGCCTTTGGGTATGGGAAGAAAGTAGGGGGTGGGAGGGGAACCTCTTCACACAGAGAAAAACATCTGTGACTCAGTAAAGGTTGCTCAAGGGCTAAGCCAAATTTCAATACATACCATATGAAATTTGCAGTAAAAGAGCAGCACACCCATATTTACACACACACACACACACACACACACACCCCCATGTGAGACAAAGTGAAGACTTTTACTTACCTAGAGGCATGAAGATAAATTATGACAGAGTACATAAGATGAGCATAAAAATTAAACTCTTTATTTCACCATATTTCATTTTAAACTCAAATAATGATACAAATTTAAAAGATGAGCTTACTGTTACCAGTCAAATAAAGAGTTCACCAAGGTCAACACAACTTATAGGCACAAAAACTGAGTAAAAAACAAAACAAAACCCTCAAAACACAAAATGTGAGTACAGAACTTAAAGTGAATACCATCACACACAGCAATGGGAGGGAGGCAGCCCAGAAGTTGTGTTTCTGACCGACTTACCTCACTCCATTTCATTTCCCTTTTGACAAGTTACCAGGAATCCTAGCAGTGGTGATAATAGGCTACAGCTGCCTTGGGTGAATGTACTCAGTGGCATTAACAGAGGCTATTTAACCTCTGCCGCCTAGCTCTGCAGATCCATCATGAGCAAAGGGAGCCCGAGCCTGGGAGAATGAGCGACATGGGAGTGCAGGACCCAGTTCCCAGATGACACGTGAGACAGGCAGCCTTGTGAGATGGTGCTGGGGATCCACTACTGGTCCTACTCACTCCCTGGTGTAACCCCCGCCCCCTCCCTTGAGTGTGGCCAGGAACTAGTGACTTGCATCTAGTAAAGAGAATACAGCAGAAGTGATGAGCTGTCACTTTCAAGATTAAGTTATAGGGCTACCCTGGTGGCGCAGTGGTTGAGAGTCCGCCTGCCGATGCAGGGGATGCGGGTTCGTGCCCCGGTCCGGGGGGATCCCGCGTGCCGCGGAGCGGCTGGGCCCGTGAGCCACGGCCGCTGGGCCTGCGCGTCCGGAGCCTGTGCTCCGCGGCGGGAGAGGCCACAGCAGTGAGAGGCCCGCGTACCGCAAAAAAACCAAAAAAAAAGATTAAGTTATAAAAGATGGCGACTTCTGCCTTGCTGGCACTTGCCTTTGGCTTTCCTCACTTGCTTTCTTTGTTGAGGACAGCTGCCTGAGGACAGCCGTGAGAAACTAAGACCCTTAGTCCAACAGGCTGCGAGGAACTGCCTCCTGTCCGGGACCACACAAGTGAGCTGAGAAGCAGGTCCTCCCCCCCGGGGCACCCGGCCAACACCTTGACCTCAGCCTCGTGACAGACCCTGAGCTGGAGGACTTGGCTCAGCCACGCCCAGATTCCAGACCCACAGAAACTGTGAGAAAATACATAGGTGCTGTTTTAAGTGGCTAAGTTTTGGGGTGATTTGTCATATGGTGGTGATAGAAAATGAACACACCTGGGTAAACAATAATGTGCTTTAAGGAGATAATGAAATCATTTGTTATTAATTCTGAAATAGCATTTACAAATTATTTATATAAAATCAACTAACAATTGAGTTTATCTCAACTTCAAGGAAGAAAACCAAAACTTTACAACTTGGGGCAAAAGAGTTTAGTGCTCCATACAAATGAAATTTCTCTAAGGGTTCCAGCTAACTACAGAGTTTTCCGACTCCCTGCAATTGCCATCAAGTCTGAAAATCACACTCCATAAAACTTCTAAATTTCTAAGCAGGTTTTTAAAAACAATGGAAAACAAAATATTGTCTGTCTTCTTGGTTAAATTTACTTTGCCATAAAAGTCTTCATTTGTACAGTTAAGCATGACTTTTAAAAGTGAGCTTTCCCATTTATATGAAATGTACAGGACAGGCAAATCCATAGAGACAGAAAGTAGATTAGTAACTGCCAGTGCCAGGCCAGAGAATGGGGAATGACTACTAACAGGCACGGGGCTTCTTTTTGGGATGATGAAAATGTTCGGAAAAGATAATGGTGACAGGGGCTTCCCTGGTGGTGCAGTGGTTGAGAGTCCGCCTGCCGATGCAGGGGACACAGGTTCGTGCCCCGGCCTGGGAAGATCCCACATGCCGCGGAGTGGCTGGGCCCGTGAGCCGTGGCCGCTGAGCCTATGCGTCCAGAGCCTGTGCTCTGCGACGGGAGAGGCCACAACGGTGAGAGGCCCGCGTACCACAAAAAAACAAAAAAGAAAAGATAATGGTGACAGTTGTACAACCTTGTGAATGTACCAAAAAAAACACTAAATTGTATACTTTACAATGGTGAATTTTATGGTGTTTGAATTATACCTCAATTAAAATAATTGTTTTAAGCTCTTATGGATTAAAGTTAACATTTCCATTTAAACATCTCCCCAGATAGTTACATTCCATTCCCAGACACGCTTATGGAATGGTGTCTGCTGTAAGAAGATATATAAGTGACGGCAGCCTGCCACCATAGCTTAGACCTCACTACATGTTTTGGGGTTTGTTTTTTTTAATGCACTGCATCCTCCAGGAAAATTACTAGCAAAATCCTCCCCCAGTAAATGTGTTTTTGTTCATTTACAAATGTTAGATTCCTGTTTTTAAAACTTAAGACAATTTTCACCTCATTGCATAATACTTGATTAGCGCCCCCCCTTGCTATGAACTACAAGGTAAGAAAACTTTATCAAACAAAAACATTTAAAGAGAAAGAATGTGCAAATCTTTTCAGATTCCATTTCAGCATCACATGATTTATTTAAATGTCATTCCCAGACACGTGTGGGGTGGCATATGCTCCCTTTTATTACATAGTAACACATACGCCATACCCAGCAGGAGTCTTTATATGACATATGGCCTAGTAGTTTCAATCAAAGCATGATCGTTCAAAGAGAACAGGGGGAGAAGAAAACACCTACACATTTATAACATGATCAAAAGGAACACGAGACAGATGAACTGAAAAAACAACATCTTTGAACAATCATAATCGACAGTACGAGTCTCCCTTATTCCACTAGTTTTGAACAACTAACATCTGTAAACTTGAATCCAACTCTGGCAGATTTAGCAGTCTTAAATCTCTGATTTTTCCATCCTAAACATCCTCCAGTGTACTGTGAAGATGAGAGCGGGCCTCCTCCACCGAGCCCTGCCGCCCAGCCGAGCTGTCTGAGGAGGCAGCCTCCTCTCGTGGGCATCAAATACTTCGGTAGTCAGAGCCCCGGGCTACAATGGCAGCAGCTTCCCACTCCACAGTGAAGAAGGAAACAGTTCCAAAAAACCCAAACATCACCATGACCAGGAGTTGCCAATGAAGGAGAAGGTAGTTACTGTAGAAAAATGCCACGGCTGCGCAAATGGACTAAAAATAAACAAGACAAAACAGATCACAAAATGCACACAGGTGACCCAGCCGCTCCACAAAGAGCCCCACCGCTCTCTGACCCAAGGCTTCCTGTGCCTTGCACTGCTCCCTGCTCTTTCTGCATCTAGATGGCACTTCCTTGGTCACTAGCTCACAAACATGCACCACAAACTCCTGCTGAGAGCTGGGAACAATCAAGTAAGCTATTATTTAAAATAGTATTTTGTAAAAAACAGGAGTTATAAAATAATGTGCATGAACAGTGTGAAACACTCTTGTTATATGTGTATACTATGAATTCTGGTATCTAAGGAAGTCTGAGCCGCAGAGACCAGAACATAAAATGTCTTATACAAGTGATGGGGCAAAAAAGATCACACTACTCATTGCTTCCTAACTCTAATCACAAATCCCTTTTTTTTTTTTTTTTTTTTTTTTTCCCAGTATGCAGGCCTCTCACTGCTGTGGCCTGTCCCGCTGCAGAGCACAGGCTCCGGATGCGCAGGCTCAGCGGCCATGGCTCACGGGCCCAGCCACTCCGCGGCATGTGGGATCCTCCCAGACCAGGGCACGAACCCGCATCCCCTGCATCGGCAGGCGGACTCTCAACCACTGCGCCACCAGGGAAGCCCTGTTATTTATTTTATTTTATTTTTTAGTTTTGGCCACGTCATGCAGCATGTGGGACCTTAGTTCCTTGACCAGGGATCAAACCTGCGCCCCCTGCATTGGAAGTGCAGAGTCTTAACCACTGGACCTCCAGGGAAGTCCCACAAATCCTTTTAAAGGTTGTCCTTGACTTTCATTTAAGAGACATTAAGACAACAAATAGACCCTCTGCTTCAAACACGATCTGAAGAAGAGGTTACCTGCACAAATTTAAAGACTGCAAAAGCTGGTGCACTGTCTTCAGAATAGAGAAAACCTAGGATACTAAGCAGCTGGGTATTGAAGCAGCTGTCCCCAAGACCCAACAGGAAGCTGCAGAAAATGGCAACTTCTTTGCTGAATAAAACAAAATTAATTTAGAGTGAGCATGAACAGTATTTGTTAGAGTTGATTAATATGTAGAAACAGCTCACCCACAAAAGCATTTTACTTTCAAGTTTTAAACACTATGAAACAAGTATGAATAAATACTGGAATTTACAAAGTCAGCATTTATGCTCAAACGCACTCACCTTCGCAGTCTAGCAAACCCTGGTCTACTAACTATTGGGGAAGCAAACACTGTGTTTGGGGCAGAGCTGCTCTTGGACTGTGGATCTAGACATAAACACTCACATCTACAATGACTTTGAGAGTTGAGTGCAAAAAAATGACACTCTCAAAACTCCTGTGGACACTGTGAGAGAACGGGGTGGCCGGCCCAGCTGGCAGATCACCCCTCGCTCCTCATTGCTCTTCCTCGGGGCCCAAATTTCTAGAGATTTCACTGGTTGAAAGGCAGAGATATAAAGTTCAAATCAGATACTTATGTGCTCCTTCACAGATCAAGAAAAAGATTTAGTGGGGAGAAAGGTTAAAACCAGCAATTAGAAAAATAACTTGGGATTCTCTATGGATTCCTATTTAAACTCATTCTGGCTCCATTAACACTTGACAGATGACCTTATAAAGATAACAGACTTGCAGAAAAGGATTAACTGCTCCATTCTAAATTCCTAGCCATCCTCGACCTCCCGCCCTTCCTTAAATTACTGCCCCCCCCCCCCCACAGATTATCAGGTGACAAAGGGCAGTGATCTTTGACAGACAGGAAACAAATGAGGTGAGGCCCACACCTGCCCCAGCTGACTGATGGGCTGTGGGCTGCAGGGAGGGAGAGGGAGAAGACGAGGGAAGGCAGGTGGAGGCCCGCAGCCTCCCTGAGTTGAGGAGACAGAGCTGAGAGTCTGCGGAGATAAGGTGCCTGAGTCCCCAGGATAGAGTATAAGAAAGGACAGCTGATCAGCACAGGATGTGAGTAAATTAGCAGAGGCCTGGAAAGAAACTTCCAAGAGGATTAGAGGTATTAGTGCCCTGCCGGGGGAAGGGAAGAGTGCCTGGTCCCACCAGCCAGACTGGAAATCTTATTATTCACGGGCACTGGGTGTACACAGAAGGGTCTTCCATCAGGGCTGAGGGATAATTAGCCCTAGTCTGAGCAGTACTCTGTTCCCGTCCAACAAATTTTAAAAGCAAGACCTAAAAAAAATCATACTGTTTCCGAGTAAATGAACCACATCCAAGAACAAAGCTCAAGAACATTAACAGGAAAATATAAAAAACATCCTGCACCCAACAAGGTACAGTTCACAATGGCTAGTATCCACAACGTTACCAGGCATGCAAAGAAACAGGAAAATAGGACCCATCGTAAGTAGACAAATCAGTCAAACACAGAGTTAGCACATGACCCAGCAATTCTAGTGCTGGGTTTACATGCAAGAAAAATGAAAACATAAGCTCACACAAAAAGTATACACAAATATTCACAGCAGCATTATTCATACTGGCCAAAAAGTGAAAACAGGGCTTCCCTGGTGGCGCAGTGGTTGAGAGTCTGCCTGCCGATGCAGGGGATGCGGGTTTGTGCCCCGGTCCGGGAAGATCCCACATGCCGCGGAGCGGCTGGGCCTGTGAGCCATGGCTGCTGAGCCTGCACGTCCGGAGCCTGTGCTCCGCAACGGGAGAGGCCACAATAGTGAGAAGCCCGCGTACCCCCCAAAAACATAAAGCAAAAACAACCCAGATGTCTGTGACATGGTAAATGGATAAATAAAATGTAGTAGATCCATACAACTAAATATTATTTGGTAATAAAAAGGAATGAAGTAAAAAATAAAGAAAGAAAAAGAAAAAGAAATGAAGTATTGATACATGCTACACCATATGGGAAAATCTTGAAAACACTGTGCTAAGTGAAAGAAGCCAGACACGAGAGACCATATATATTGTATGATTCCATTTACACAAGATGTCCAGAACAAAGCTATAGAGAAAGTAGATTAGCAGTTTCCTGGAGAAGGGTGATGAAAATGTTCTATAATTAGATTACAGTGATGGCTGTACAACCCTGTGAATATACTAAAAAACACCGATCTGTATACTTTAAATGGGTGAACTATACGTCATGTGAATTATGTCTCCATAAAGTTGTAAAGAAAAAAACACCACCACCACTACCCCAGAACCGTTGCAGATGTTAGAATGAGCAAAGACATTAAAACAATTACTGTATTAACATGTTCACACACATACACGTGCCAAGTGTTGGCAATAAATTAGGGGAGGGGTACCGGTGCCCTGTTAGGAACCAGGCCCCGCAGCAGGAGGGGAGCAGCAGGCCAGCCGCTTCATCTGTATTTACAGCTGCTCCGCGTAGCTCGCATTACTGCCTGAGCTCTGCCTCTTGTCAGGTCAGCAGCAGCATGAGATTCTCATAGGAGCATGAGCCCTACTGTGAACTGTGCATTCAAGGAATCTGGGTTGCATGCTCCTTTTGAGAATCTAATGCCTGATGATCTGAGGGGGAGCTGAGGCGGTGATGCTAGCCCTGGGGAGTGGCTGCAAATACAGGTTATCATTAGCAGAGAGGTTTGTCTGCACAGAGACCATAATAAATCAGTTGCTTGAAGACTCATATCAAAACCCTATCAGTGGGGCTTCCCTGGTGGTGCAGTGGTTGAGAATCTGCCTGCCAATGCAGGGGACATGGGTTCGAGCCCTGGTCTGGGAAGATCCCACATGCCGTGGGGCAAGTAAGCCTGTGAGCCACAACTACTGAGCCTGCACGTCTGGAGCTTGTGCTCCACAACAAGAGAGGCCGCGACAGTGAGAGGCCCGTGCACCGCGATGAAGAGTGGCCCCTGCTCGCCGCAACTAGAGAAAGCCCTCGCACAGAAACGAAGACCCAACACAGCCATAAATAAATAAATAATAATGGGTCAGGATTTGAACAAGACACCTGGCCAAAAAAGATATACAGATAGTAAAAATCATACAAAAATATCATATACTATCAAGGAATTACAAATTAAAATCATGAGATATCACAGCACACCTATTAGGATTGCTAAACTCCAAAAATATGACAATATCAATTGCTGAAAAAAAAAAAATGTCTATTCTCAGACAACGTGAATATCTACATAGAAAATCCTAAAGGATCTCCAAAAAAAAAAAAAAAAAAAAAAAAATTGATTCTGCATTATGGTGAGTTGTATAATTACTTCACTATATATTACAATGTAATAATAATAGAAATAAAGTACACAGTAAATGTAATGTGCTTGAGTTATCCGGAAACCATGCCCCCCGCCCCCGTCCATGGAAAAATTGTCTTCCATGAAATTGTTCTTGGTGCCAAAAAGGTTGGGGACCGCTGAATTAGGGAACAAAAATACACCAAAGTCTGCTTTCTCCATAGTGCTTATCATTGTCTGACATTCTAAGTTTCCAATGTTTTTTATTTTCTGTGCTCTTCCCCAAGAATATAAGCTCCATGTTTTGTTCATACAATGGATTCACAAAAAATATGTGCTGAATTGGTAATTTCCTCATATGTGACTCAACACCCAATACACTGCAAGTATAGACCGGATCACTGCTGAATAAGGAGTACCTGGTGGTATGATAAAGAGAGCTTTGGTCTTTGCCTTGTCCTCTTCTCCTCTCCACTTTCCCGCACGGAGCTCTTAAAACCCTAGGAATTTCTCAGCGAAAGGAATGTCTCTAGTTATCTTAACTAATCCCTTCCAATGACACAAGAGTTTATGATGATGAGGTGATCCTTGAGGGGGTCTGGAGGTGGCCCTAGATAGTCAGGATGGGGGCTGGTTGTCAGAAGGACCCAGCCTTGATTAGAGGGTTGGAACTTTCAGCCCCACCCCCCAATCTCAGGGGAGGGGAGAGGGCGTAGAAACTGAGTCCAATCACCAATGGTGGATGATTTAATCAACCATGTGACATAATGAGATCTCCCTAAATCCCTACAAAACAGGTTTGGGAGAGCTTCCTGGTGATGACTGCATCCACATGATGGGAGGGTGCCACACCCAGACTGCATGGGGACAGAGCTTCCTACACTAGGGGCCCTTCTGGACTTTGCCCTATGTACCTCTTCATCTGGCTGTTCATTTGCATCCTTTATAATAAACTTTAACAGTAAGTATAGCATTTTCCAGGGGTGTTGTGGGAACCCTTGAATGTGTAGCCAAGCTGGACAGAAGGGAAGGTAGCCTGGGACCCAGGACTTAACGACTGATGTCTCAAGTAAGGTTGGTCTTGCAGGACTACACCCTTGAACCTGTGGAGTCCGATGCTAACTCCAGGAGTGTCAGAATTGAACTGTATTGTTGCACATCCAACTGGTGTCAGAGATTCAGAGAATAAGAAATTCAGGAATTCTAAAGATGCAGATGTAGAGAATGGACCTGAGGACACGGGGAGTGGGAAGGGTAAGCTGGGACGAAGTGAGAGAGTGGCATGGACATATATACACTACCAAATGTAAAACAGATAGCTAGTGGGAAGCAGCCACATAGCACAGGGAGATCAGCTCAGTGCTTTGGGACCACCTAGATGGGTGGGATAGGAAGGGTGGGAGAGAGACACAAGAGGGAGGAGATATGGAGATATATGTATAGCTGATTCACTTTGTTATAAAGCGGAAACTAACACACTAAAAAAAAAAAAAATTCAGGAATTCTAATACACCTTCCCTAAGTATTTTAAGAGGAAAAGCTGGGAGAGATCATATGTTTTCTTACTTATGGTTTTGTCTTGAATTATTTGGCAAATGTTTTGTAATTTAGTTTTAGAACAGTGATAATAAAAAAAAAAAAAGACGTACCCATTTGTATAAAAGCAAAAGGAAACAGAAATTCAAGGACAGAGAGATGAAATACATTTAAAATTTCTATAACAAACTGATTTGGTGCAAAAACTTTTTTTTTTTTAAACCAACCTAAAATTTCTCCAATGCCAATGAAAATGCCAGAAAGTCCAATGAGGCTTTTCTCCTCTGTTCCAAATTTATTTATAGCGCCGATACAGGTTCCATATACACCAGAGAAGAAAGTCAATTCCAGACCTTCAGAAAAAAATGAGATTTAAATTACAGTTGTTCCTAGGTATAAAAATCCATAGATGCTCAAGTCCCATAGTCAGCCCTCCATATCCAAGACTGCAGCCTCAGATTCAACCAACCATGGATTGGGAAGCACTGGATTTAGTACTGAAAAAAATGCACAGTCTCCCTTTCCTGGTTTTTCTTCATGACTAGTAGTATTTGAGCTATACACGCATAAAACAAAATCCACACAGGCTGAAATGTTACTCCCCAAGCACAGCATAATTTTACGTGACCTAACTGATGACATGGAATTAGCCACAAGATGGCAGTTGTCACATATTTCAGATAAAAGCATAGAACTCAAATAAGCAAAGACGGGCTTCCCTGGTGGCACAGTGGTTGAGAGTCCGCCTGCCGATGCAGGGGACACGGGTTCGTGCCCCGGTCCGGGAAGATCCCACATGCGGCGGAGCGGCTGGGCCCGTGAGCCATGGCCGCTGAGCCTGTGCGTCCGGAGCCTGTGCTCCGCAACGGGAGAGGCCACAACAGTGAGAGGCCCGCGTACCGCAAAAAAAAAAAAAAAAAAATAAGTGAAGACATCCTTATGTTAAAAAAGGTCACTCTGTGCAGACGGGATGAACAGAGAACATAATTAACATAAACTTGTAACAGTGAAACTAAAGTGCTCATTATCCTTATTAATAGCTTCCCAAGGGAACAGTGATATACATTTGTAAGACCAACACCTACCATCCACTTTTGCTTAAAGTCAAAAGTTTTAATTAAACACATTGTCCTAGGAAAAGAAATTCAAAAAATGCGGGTAGAAAATTAGAGCAAATGAGTAGAAGACCTGATTCCTTAATGCTAAAAAACCTTAACTGAATTTTGAGGATGTTTAATATTTATTCTGTTTGGCCTAAAAATAAGACGTTTATACCGATGAGGCACATACAGTTGAACCTTGGACAACACGGGTTTGAACTGTGTGGGTCCATATAGACTACAGGATCCACAGCTAGTTCAATCTGCAGATAAGGAAGCACGGACACAAAGGGCTGACTAAAGTTATATGAAGATTTTAACTGTGGGGGAGGTCAGCACCCCTAATCCATCCCTTCATTGTTCAAGGGTCAACTGTAACAGCAAAAGTAATAATTGACACATTAGAGCAATTTTTACAAGGAAACTGATTTCCTTAAGACCTAAGAGTATTCCACCTATTATCACATCACATCACTGTAAGCCACAGAACTCATTCCATTTCATTAAAAATTATCTTAATTCATGCCAAGTTACACAGATTTACTCATGATTATTTTCTGTAATGTTCTATTTTGCCCTAAAATCACTGGTTGGGATGAACCAGGCCTCCCAGTTTTCAAACTCTTGTGAGAATCCTCCCACACTGAATTTGGGCTGGCCCTATGATTTGCTTTCACCAATGTGGGAGGGGGTCACATAGCTGGCTGAGACACAAGGAGAAATCTGAGACCCAGCTAGCATCAGACCCCTTCAGACATGCAAATGAAACTTCCTTGGAAGTTTTAGCCTCAGCCACCCTTTAACAGCAGCCACAAGAGACCCCAAGACCATCAGAAAAACCATTTAGCTGAGACCAGTCAATGCACAGAATTGTGAGAAAGTAACACAGTTGCTGTTTTCAACCCTTACTGTAATTATGCAGCCACAGAAAACCAAAACCATAATTAATCCCATTACCTGTATAAGCAGTTGTAATGCTAAGAAGGAGCATCTCCTTGGTGACACATAACTTAAGAGACTTTTCTATAAAAAAGGAAAAAAAAAAATTTAGGAGTACTTAACTACATTTTAATCAATCAAAAATTCTAAAACATTCATTCAACCAAAACACCTCTTGTCAATAATGCCAATAAACAAATACATTGGGACACGGGTTAATGATTCAGATCAAAATGGTTAAGGTATGAACTAAATCTGCCCTATAAAAAAAATGTTGACTTCAACTGTGTAAATATAGTCTACAGTTGTGTTTTCTCTAACACATTCTCCAGCTCTCATGAAAACAAACAAAACATGAAACAGAGAAAAGAAATAGAACCAAACAAAACAACAGAATATTCCAACAGACTCGATTAAAGGCTAGGCTATTAAGAGGGTCAGCAGTTGGCAAAGTGCTGACTTCCCTAAGGAACTGTCACAGGGCAGCTTTAAGACTGGACTCTAGGTCAGAATCAGCAGCGGAGCTCTTTGACAACCAGAAGCTGGGATGCCGCTTCCTGAGATTCTCTCTCTGGATCTGAGGACTGAAACTTCAGTTCTGCCTATTTGTTTCTGATCCCCTTAATGTTTATTTTTATGTTGTTCAACTTAGTTAAAATCTGCAATGGAAAATGCATTTCTAAAAACTGCACATTTTAACTTTTTTGAACCTGCTCAGATTTCATAGTTTAAGGCCACTTATCTAGGATCCTACTAATAGCAGATCCAGATTTTTTAAAAAGGTGGCAGGGGAAACAAAACCAAAATCCACCCCAAATCAGAACCAGCCTGGAAATAAATGAAAGCTCTCCAGTCTCACAGAGACATTATTTGGTGCGGCCAGCTCTGCAGCAGGAGCGCTCAGGCCTCAGTTCAGCCCTGGAGGTGGTGGTGTGGCCCCTACAGCTCATCCTTGGCCTGAGGATCCAGATTTTAGTTCCTATTCAATGCATGACTAGGAAACTCACATAAATCACAAACACTCTGTCCTGAATTTCTTCATATACAAAAGAAGACGGTATTTTTTTCTTCTCCAATTTCACGAAAATAAAGTGAAATAAAAGCAATATTTTCACCAATCATTTTCACATACTTGCAGAAAAAAAAACATGATCAATAAAGTTTAAAACAATATTTTTAATTAAAAACATTACATTAGCAAAGCATATCTGCTTTTCACTAATCAGAAGATTTAGCTAACGAAAAGAAATTTTAAGACATAATCTAGTATGATCCTATAATGGTGAATTCATGTCATTATACATTTGTCCAAACCCATAAAATGTACAACACCAAGAGTGAACCCTAAGGTATGTAATCTATGGACTCTAGGTGATAATGATGTGTCACTGTAGGTCCACTGATTGTAACAAATGTACCACTATGGTGAGGGACAATGATAATGGGGAAGGTTATGTGTGGGTGAGGGCAGGGCATATATGGGAAATCTCTGTATCTTCTTCTCAATTTTGCTGTGAACCTAAAACTTCTCTAAAAAATCGTTTATCAAAAAAAAAAAAAAAAAAACCCAACATAATCTATTTGCAGAAATCAACAAACTGATCCTAAAATTCATATGCAAATTCAAGGGACCAATAATAACCAAAACAATCCTGAAAAAGAACAAAGCTGAAAATTCATGCTTTCCAATTTCAAAATTTACAATAATCAGGGCTTCCCTGGTGGCGCAGTGGTTGAGAGTCCGCCTGCTGATGCAGGGGAAACGGGTTCGTGCCCCGGTCCGGGAGGATCCCACGTGCCGCGGAGCGGCTGGGCCCGTGAGCCATGGCCGCTGAGCCTGCGCGTCCGGAGCCTGTGCTCCGCAACGGGAGAGGCCACAACAGTGAGAGGCCCACGTACCGCAAAAAAACAAAAACAAAACAAACAAAAAAAAAAAACAAAATTTACAATAATCAACACAGCATTGTACTGGCATAAGGATAGACATATATCTAGAAATAAACTCTTACATTCACAGTCAATTGATTTTCAACAAGGGTGCCAACACAATTCAATAGGAGAAAGAATAGCCTTTCCAGCAAATGGTGCGAGGACAACTGATCTCCACGTGCAAAAGAATGAAGCTGGGGCTTCCCTGGGGGCGCAGTGGTTGAGAGTCCGCCTGCCAATGCAGGGGACACGGGTTCGTGCCCCGGTCCGGAAAGATCCCACATGCCGCGGAGCGACTGGGCCCGTGAGCCATAGCCGCTGAGCCTGCGTGTCCGGAGCCTGTGCTCCGCAACAGGAGAGGCCACAGCAGTGAGAGGCCCGCGTACCGCAAAAACAAAAAACAAAACAACAAAAAAAAAATTAACTCAAAATGGATCACAGACCAAAATGTACAAACTAAAACTATAAAAGTCTTAGAAAAAAATACAGGAGTAAATCTTTGTGACCTGGAGTTAGGCAAAGCCTTCTAGGGCACCAAAAGCACACACAACAAAAGATAAAATAGCTAAATCAGACTTCATCAAAAATTTAAAACTTCTGTGATTCAAAAGATACCACCAAGAAAATGAAAAATCAACCCAAAGTCGGGGAACTAAGATCCCATGAGCAGCATGGCGTGGCCAAAATAATTTTTTTTTTTAACTTAATTTTGGCCACACGCACAGGGGCTGAACCTGGGCCATGGCAGTGAAAGCACCAAATCCTAATCACTAGACCACCAGGGAACTCCCTGAATAGGTTCTAAAATTGATTGTGGTGACAGTTGCACAACTCTGTGAATATACTAAAAACCATTGAATTATACACTTTAAATGGGTGAACTGTACACTACTATGAACCACATCTCAATAAAGTTATTCTATTAAGGAAAATAATCTAACAACTTAATGGGTCTCTTCCCAGACTTTCTCTATGCTTTTTTTTATTAAAAAGAAATTCCACTATTTATACTATTTTATAATTTATTTTCACATAACAAACATTTTCTAATAATCGTAGTGATCATTTTAATGGCTACAGTAATCTATTGGATAGATGGCTTGTAGTTGAATATTTAAATTATTTCCATTTCTCACTAATATAAACAGTAGTTAAATCTTGGCTAAAATTCTTAATTATTTCCTGGGGATAATCCTATTAGTGGAATTCCTGGGGTAAAGGTATAAACATTTTTAAGGCTTTTGATACTTAGTGACAAATCACAGAAAGTAACACATGTATATTTTTAGCGTTGTGGTCTTACTGCATGTACCTACGCCCCATATACGGAGAATTATTTTTTATCTTTTGAAATTTGATAGAAAACTTAATTTGCATTTCTTATACTTAGCTTATAATAATTCTCCTTTGTTTATAAAGTAAACATTTTCTACTGGAGTGCTTATGCTTTTCTTACTGGTTCATAACCATCATATACTGTATTTTCCCTGCCATTTTAATTCATTAGATTTTGAGAGACTGAAATTTTATATTTTAGGTAACCAAGAGCATTTCTTTTTTTTAAATTTAATATTATTTTTAAATTTTATTTATTTATTAATTTATTTCTCTTTGGCTGCATTGGGTCTCCGTTGCTGTGCACAGGGCTTCTCTAGCTGTGGAGAGCAAGGTCTACTCTTCGTTGTGGTGCGCAGGCTTCTCATTGCGGTGGCTTCTCTTGTTGCAGAGCACGGGCTCAAGGCGTGCAAGCTTCAGCAGTTGTGGCTCACGGGCTCTAGAGCACAGGCTCAGTAGTTGTGGCGCATGGGCTTAGTTGCTCCGCGGCCTATGGGATCTTCCCGGACCAGGGCTCAAACCCATGTCCCCTGCATTGGCAGGTGGATTCTTAACCACCGCGCCATCAGGGAAGTCCCCCAAAGAGCATTCTTTTCCCTTACTGTTTGACAGACCTGCGTGAAAGGCTTTCCTCTACCAAATTAATTTCTTACAGTTACTATTATGGCTTCATTTTTACATTTAATCGACCTGGAATTTTAGTGTAAGACTACATTTTTTTCCCCATGCAATCAGCTGTCTGGGCTTGCTTTTTAAGACTGTTTTACTGTATTCCATATTCCATTGTGGGTCTAGACTTCAGTTCCACTGCTCTTCGTATTCCAATGTTTTCAAATGGATTCATAACAGGTTTTGATATTAATTAGGGAAAGTTATTTTTAAAAATTATGTTGGCTATTGACAGACGTTTATTCTTCCAGGTGAACTTTAGGAACCTTTCATCAGGACCAAAAAATAAATTTAAGAAAATTTTATTGAAATTTTCTAGAATCGCATTACACATATACATCCAGCTGAGGAATTAAGTGCCTTTAGATAAGCAAGAACCCTTTCTGTGCAATACCTACTATGGCACCAACTGAAGGAAAGTCACAATTAAATAATAAATGAACCACCGGCTCCCAGACAGAAAGGCTTGGACATTCTTTTTCCTTTTCTCTCTGCCTTCGGCTTCCTTGCCGCCTCATAACGTCACACTGCTCCCTAGCTGCCAGGAATCATCACCTAAATTTAAATTTTCTTGCCCTATAGCACTTCATATGTCTTGTCTTTTTTGGCCGCTGCCTTCTTTCTCCCCATTCAAACCTGACAGCCCAGTTTCTTATTACTACTGAACCCTACACCAAGTAACCAACCAGCTCCGTGATAAAAGGCATGAGGCCCTAACTGTGTTAGTGTCTCATTTTACAGAGGAGTTGAGGCAAAGTTTGTACAACTGCCTAGGAAGGACATCCTGAAACTGGTTAATATCAAGAGACATCCAGAGAGGGGTTCAGAAATAGAGCAGAGAGGCTGCATCAAGCCTCACCAAGGCTGGACGAACCATCCCATAAGCCTAAAGGTCATCAGCCTCCCTCTGCCTGACTCCATGTTCACCAAAGAAGCCAACGTGGCTTTCTAGGCCTCTGATAACAAGAAAGGAATGCCTTGTTTGACCTTGGGTAAACAATTTCTCTAAGCCTCAGTTTTCTCTTCTTTAAAATGGAGATAATAATACATGTGTGTTATATGATACTCACAGAACTATGGTGAGAACAAAAGAAAATAAAGCACATCGAGAGGTTTAGTCAGGAAGAACCCTCAACAGGTGGGCATGATTGGCCTTACACGCTACTGGGTCACCCAAGCTCCTGCGTTGCTCTGAGGAGTGACAAGCGATGCACGAAGAAATGGTCTGTGTCCTCATTTCCTCGGGTAAACTCCTAACCCTCTGCCTCCTCCTCCTCAGGCCCCCCTCACACACGTGCTCAGGTAGGGCACGGAATTACCCTCCATCCCTCACATCCCCCACGTTACAGAGATACTTACTGAGAAGACTAGCATATTTCAGGGCGGCATACCTGGAAACATGAAAATACTGGGGTATCGTCAATCCAAAGTTACCAGGGAAAGGGGGAAAGGCAAATGCTCAAGTTGTTCCTGAACAGTTCCTGCATTTCAGACACAGAAAATACTTACTAAATGCATCTACTGCCTTTGTCATATTGTTCTGGGCAGACCTGAAAAGATAAAAAGAAAAAAGTTTTTCCCTGAAAATGGAGAAAGAGAACAAAAATACTATCACATTTCCCCTCAAATCTGTAAAAGCTTCTGTCCTCTGTGTGGTCTGGCAAACACTTTCAGTGGCCTCAACGCTCCCTGCTCCAGGGGGTCCCTTCATGACCCAGGTCCTTGCTTCAGAGAATGATGTGGTTAAAGTGCCCCCGTGGAGCACGATTCCCTCACATTAAATTTATGGCACGGAGTCTTGCACGTCTTTTTCACAAAAGATAATTCAGGCAGGACAGAAATCTCCTCTACGCTGTTTCCAAACTGTAGAAACAATTTGTGAGGGCTCAATCTTCCACCACTCCAACTATGTAAAAACTACTCTGTGGTTCTTCAGTGTTAGAACTCTTGAAAAGCATCGCCATCATTGGCGGTAGGGGGTTGGGTGCGATATCATCTATGGGTTAAAAACGTGGGCTTTGAGGCTGAGTCCTGCTTTGCCACTTATTAGTTGTGTGGTTTTAGACAAGTGACTTCATTTCTCTAACTTTCATTTCCTCATTTATAAAACAGGAACACTATCACTTACCTGTGAGAATTAATTGAGATAAAGTAACTTATTTTTAAGGTTAGGGTAAGAGAGTTTTTAAGAAATTACATTTCTTACCCTACCAGCCAAGTCTACTCCTCCTAGATCTTTAAAGGATATCATTTACAAACAAACAAACCGAAAAAAACAAGAACAGCAAAAAGCAAACCTAAAGGAGATCTAGTTGACTTAAATAAATAAATTACTAACACAAAAATGGTAGTATCTTCTAACCAACAGGAAAACTTTTTCCCCCACCATAAAAACTCATGCCTTCCCTGGAAGCAGATACTATGTAAATGCCATTTCATGACAGCGCCCTCATCTAGTACATGGACAGGATCAGGCGTGGATTATACTATTTCATAGTCAAGGCCCCAAATAAGTAGAAACTGATTTGTACTCTATAGACTATGAAAATATAATCAACTCAGCTGCTATCAGCTGCAAATCATTCCAAGTGGATTCCACAAAGTGGAATCCTTTAAAATCAGATCCTACTTGTTTCCTCAGCGGCTTCTAATCACACCAAGAATAAAATCCAAACTCCTGCTGTATCCTTATGTAATCAACTCTCTGTCTGCTGCACTACTCTCACAGTGCACTCCTACTTGCACTGTGAGAGGCCCAGGGGCCTCTGGCATTCCT